CTCGGAAATTTTTCGACACGCTTCGAATGTGTTACTTGAAGAAGCCTAATACATATCGGATGGTACCTGAAGCCACTGCCTCGGCTTCGGGCAATGTGGCTGATGATGGCTTTGCGGCCGAGACGATGACACCCTTGTCCCACAATCATGGCCTGGACAGAGATTTGGTGTCCCTCAAGATCAGCCTATTGGGTGACAGCCAAATCGGAAAGACAAGTTTTCTGGTAAGATCAATTGTCTGTTGTTGGTTGGAGTTGAATGTTGGATTCTGGCTCTCTCTTTGGGCTTCATCTTTCAGTTGTTAATTTTTTGAAGGAAAAGTATGTTGGGAATGAAATGGAAGACGGAAGCAGAGCGCAGAAAGGATTGAACTTGATGGATAAAACACTGATGGTTAGAGGGGCACGTATTTCGTATAGCATTTGGGAAGTGGGAGGTAATTACCTAAAGGATTTTAAAATGTGGACGTGCAGTTTTATGATTGGCTGGAGGAAGGGACTAACGTGGATGTGGATGCAGGTGATAGAAAATCTCTGGATTACATTCCAACAGCTTGCAAGGACTCTGTAGCAATTCTTTTTATGTTTGATCTAACAAGTAGGCGTACCCTAAACAGGTGAGACTTGTTTCTCTGATCTAATATTACTTTGGCTTTCAGATTCTAAACCAAGGTTTTTCGGTGATTTGCAGCATTTTAAGGTGGTATAGACAAGCACTGAAATGGAATCAGGTAGTTTAGAACTCGTTTGATAACGTTATGGAAATGTTAGTTTTGAATTTTCTTTTCCTTGGCTCATATCTGGGATTGCAACCAAAGTTTCTGAAAGCAAAAGTTCGGCCTTTTCCCTCACTTTTATGAAGGTAGAAAACTCTGTTTGTTTTGCAGACAGCAATTCCAATCTTGATAGGAACAAAGTTCGACGATTTTATCCAACTCCCCATAGAACTGCAATGGGCAATTGCAAGCGAGGTAAAAATCGAAATCTTGGGTTCCAAGATCCTGCAATACTATTCCATAATTTTTTAGAGATTCTCACCAAATGTATCAGAGTACATATAAATCCTTCAAGTTAGGTAAGCCAGAGAATAAAGAATGTCTCAGAATTTTCCTTGTTTTGACAGGCAAGAACATACGCGAAGGCACTGAATGCGCCGTTGTTCTTCTCTAGTGCAGCTTACAACATCAATGTTAATAAGATCTTCAAATTCATCACAGCAAAGCTCTTTGACCTACCATGGACGGTCGAGCGCAACTTGACAGTTGGAGAGCCTATAATTGATTTCTAGAGTTGTTCTTCCACCCTACATATGCAATCTGGTCCTAAAGAAACTCTGAGAATCATCCTGCACAAGGATGAGTGTCCATATTGCTTTGACAACTATGTCAGATGTAGCGGAGAAAGGCAGAGGCGCGGAGCCGCGTCTCCGTCTCCGTAGTTGAGATGCATCTGCACTGCTCAAAAGTTGTCGAAAGGCAAGTAGAGACAATTGAGTAATGACCACACTTCTCTAAGTGTACCAGATCAAGCATGTCACTGCAAATGCAGCTTGCATCCTTTCAGAAAGTTTTAGCTGTAACTCCATGTAAATCTGTAGTCACGCTCAATATCTTCTCTTTGATGAGAAAATTGAAGTGTCTATCAAATTAAACATCCTTCCTGATCGATGTGATAAAATAAAGTTATGTTGTTTATCTTTAGACATGCAGATGCGGCTATGGTAAAAAGTAAAAAACACTTATTCAATAACAGACCATCCTGCGGCTTACAAAGCAGTCTGGAATCAGGTCCTCCTCTTACAGGAAAACATTGTACAGTATCCAAATGCATATAAGATATAAGTTTGTTTATGGAGCCTTTTACTATTACTATATACGGTAACAATGCATATAGACAGACATTCATAGTGAAAAGGAAGAGCCTGAGATATCAAATACTTCATTCAATTCAGAAACGAAATTCATTTGAAAGCATTACTTAAGTACCTTCCATCTCTCTTTCCAGGGAGGACGCGACAGCCAAAATGCCCTCTGTTAATTTCTGCCCGCACTGATGCAAATAATGAATTTACAACACGAACTTTCAGGTGAGAAAACAAAAGCAATCCATCCAAGAAGTTGAATTAAATGAGATTAGCAGAATGTTGACTTAGGTCCATAAGCAATAAAATGCTTTCCAACAAGAGCAAGGATCCTCCACGTGCTATAACTGGTTGAGATTGAAAGATCATTGGGATCCACATGCATGAAACTTGAATAAATTCATGAATTAAATGAGATTAGCAGAGTTTTGATTTAACTCATCCCGAAAAGGCTGCATGCAGTTATGACACCTACAGAGTAACAAATATGCCTGTTTTAATGACAGTACAGAAATGTAATATATGGTGTTAGCGACTAGCGTAAAGGAAAAACAAGAGGATTAAATTATATGTTGGAGCTACTGGCTAGAGTGAAGCTTTTGTATATCTCAGGAAAGTTGAATCGAGCACATGGGAAACAACAAACAGTAAAGCCCTATTCATTTGTCATGATATTGAATATTGATAACAATAGTTTGATCCTAAAACTTTAAGTATCATGGCTCTGCATGTTACAGAAACTTCCAATATGGATTCTGTGCGATAATATATAATCATACAGCAATTCTTCGAGTCCTCCGAGAAACAGAGAGAAAAGAGATGATGCAGAAAAATAGATCGCCGTTTGCAATTCGCAATCCCAGAAATCGAATGAATGCTAAAGGCTATAATATTCCACAGTCATTTTGCCTTCTCTCATTGGTATCAAAACAGAGAAAATTAGAAATCGCCGGTGGTTCGTATTTGTTGAGTAGGTTATCCAGGAAATCCCCAATTTCAAATTCCAGAAGTTAACCTTACTCCTTTATGCGAGATCTGTTTTGTCACTTAAACAGATGACTAAATTTATGATAAAAGAAATTAGTTTTTTTTTTTTTAGGAGGGAGATAAATGGATGAAATTAAAAGCGTAATTAATTTTGTGAAACGAAAGTGGAGTATTATTTATTGCAACCCTAAACGGTCTTGTACGGGGTAATGCAATATGTATTAAGTAATTTATAAAGCGCATAAAAACAAAAAGAAAGGGATCCATGAAAGCATTGATGATTTTTTATTGTCCAAACATCCCCTTCCTCTCAACTTTCTATTTTACAATAATTTATGAACCCACCATGAATGCTCATTGTCTGTCGCAGAACTTGCTTTGAAAATATACTCCAAATTTTATTTACATCCGATTCTCAAATTTTAATACTTATATTCTCGATTCTTATTTTTTTTTCTAAATGCGTGACACGCCTACCACCAATTCAAACTATGGAAAGCATACTTTTGAGAAGGTGAGATTCCACCTTTTATATCGAGAGTATTGGAAAGTGGTGTCTCCTCCTATGAGGCGGACGTTTGTATCTATATATCGTCTAGTGGATATATTCTCTTGACAATTAAAAGGTCTCTTGCAGGTGGAATTGACGTTTTGCTGACTATAATATTCCTCTTCATATTAGAGTCAATCCTCTCGACGTGTGTCTGGACTTAAGCCCATGCCTAGATTTGGGAGGGCATTGTACTTTCTCTTCTATAAACTTTGTTGTTAAGGCCTATTACAAAACTAACATGATATTTATTTCTTAACATTTTGATGGGACAATGGCAACAATCAGAAATAAATGATTAATTAAGCATGCAAAAATACTAATTACCCCTCTAGAAAGATCAAATAATGGATAAAAATGGTACATAAACATAATTTCAAATCTAGAGGCATAATTAAAATCTTTTTCAATATTTAACAACTAAGTAGCTTCAATATACTCCAATAATAAACTCTTCAATGGCCCATGAGTAATTACTAGTACATTATGGAACCAATTGAAATTTGAGTAATTTTCGTTCGAACCAGCTATCATTTGATCCAAAATCAAATGCGTGGGTCCATTTATGAAATTTGGGTAATTTTTTTGATCCCATAATATGAATTTTCTATATATAAAAAGGAGAGTGGCCAATTTTGAAGTCCATTCTTTGAGAATAAAATTAGACAAATGGATATAAATTCCCAACAACAGGGCTTCAAAAACATGCCATAAAAGTCACAACTCACAAGGGGAAACATTACAAATGAATCCACAAAAAAGAGGAAATCCTAGAGCTAAGCTAACTCAACCCCAAAAAAGAAGATTAAAAAAAATATAATAATATGCAAATAAAATACAAGATTCTCCAGTTCTTAGCAGTTTGTTCCTAAATTAAATCCTAGCTACAGTGGTGGTTTGGTTTGTTTCAGCTTTTACTGCGTTCAAGGAAGTCAATGCCCGAACCCCTAAAACTCCAATTCCTTTTTTTTTTTTTCCTTTGCAGGGTGCGCTCTTGACTTCTCCCCAAAAACTCCGTATCAGCCAAAATCTCCTCAAACTAAAACTAAAACCATCAAAAAATTTAAATTTAAATTTAAAAATTAAAAATTTCCCCTTTTTGGTGCGTCTACGCAGTGTCGCATGATAATGACGCTTTAATCCTCTCCACCGTACACGCAATTAGATTGTTCACCGTCGCCACCGACCCCAGGGAGAGCTTCGCCGTCGGCACCGAGTCCACCAGTATCTGAAACGCAACCGTCAGCAGTGACCCACCCTCCCCGCCGCCGCCGTCCGGGAGAATCGCGAAACCCGAGGGGAGAAGTGCCACGTAATCCGGATCTCCGCCGTTCAGCACCACGTTCATTGCCACTATGTCCACCGGAGCGTAGATCACGAACGACGCCGTTGGGTCCGTGCAGCTTTCTTGTAGAATTAGCATGTTGCTTTGGCTTGAATTCGCGCTCTACATATATATATATATATATTTTTTTTTTACAGCGTCAGATTCAGGTATTAACTTTTAACTTTTAACTTTTAACTTTTATGGAGGTAACTTACGTTTACCCGCAGCAGTGAAACACAGTTACCAGTGTCGCGGCCGTTGGCGATGTGCGCCATTTCTTGAACTACTCCCCCATTCGAAAGAATGTCCCACTGTAAACAAATTTAATTTAAATGTTTATTTATTTTGACACCAGACTTAAATTACTACTGAATTCTAAAGTATTAAATAAATTACGGTAAATTTAATATATTAATCACATTTCTTACCTCGCTGCGAGAGTTTTCATCCCGGAGGAAATCGAAGATTCGCTTGGGTGGAACAGGGAGCCAAAAGGAAGTTGCAGCGCTGAGGACTATACCAGGAGGCCTTCCGGGGTCGTCGATGCTCTTTCGGGTCATGACGCGAACATCATCTGCACCGGTACCTGACAGGGTAGTCCATGTGTGAGTTGTGGAGGCACTCACTCCAGCGCAGAAGCTTATCACCATTCTCTCAGCCAGTTTCAACATGCTCTTTCTCCCCTCTTGACTCGTTATCACTAAGTTTGAAACCAGCAATTAGATTTAAAGTATAAAAACTTTTAAAATTATACGGATCAAATTCAAAGGATTATTACCTCCGACATCACCGGTTGGTATGTTGGTGGCCATGGCACTGGCGAGTCGTTCACATTGGCGGTCTAAAGTAGTAACCCAACGTTTGGCTCCAAAAGCTTGGCCAGAGCTTACCAGCTGCTTGTATAGATTATGAACTCCTCTATCATCCACCTCTACATGCTCAACCCATGTGACCTAATATATATATATATATATATATATCAAACCCCAAACCAGTCTAAATTCCCACACAATTATCCTCAAATCAAAATTCTAACCTCCAAAAAAGACTAACCTTTGAATAGCCATTTGGCATTTCTTGGATTAAACATCCGGAAGGCCTTCTTCTGCATCTAAGCCCCGGAGTAGGCCGCAGATCGTCCAACGACACATCCACCACTGCCCACGTCCCGTCCGCATGCTGTTTGCAATATCTAACGTAATAGCTTTCCCGGGTCGGAACCAATGGTGATGGAACTTGAAATTCCGACGTTATCTAAAAAATTAAATATACTGTAACCTATCGACTTAAATTTTGGACTGGGAGATGGAGGTCTTTATCTCATATAACATACCACTTGCAGTGCTCCATTGTAATTCCCAGCAACTCCAGTTGACAACACTTCAAGTGTCATAGCTCTAGACACGATGCCAGAGAACAAAGTCGACCATTGATTCTAAAACACATCATATTCATTTAGCAGAATTAGAACCAAATAAGAAAGAGATCCCAAGAAATAGGGACAAAAAATAAAGCATAAACTTACCACGTCCATGAGAATCTCAACGAGGTTAATGTGGTTCATAATGACAACAGCAGATTCACGAGAGGCTTCACATTTAAACCCAGATGGCTTAGGCCCAATCCCTCGGGGAAACGTTCTCAAGTACTCATCTTCATTCAGCACACTGGTGGAGCCATCCAGGGCTGTCATCCACAACGGCTCGCCCATCTGAGCCATTCTAGTCAGCTCTTCCATGGCTGCAACCGCCAGCTCGATGATCATCGGTTTATCCGCTTCGGTGGGGGCGCTGATGGATCTTATCAGGTCTCCCGCGGAGCCATAGATGTCTCCCCCGAAGTTCCCCATGCCCAACTCTAGTGGCCGAGAGGGAACTGGTGGAGAAAGTAGAGGATAGTTCACCACCGGCTTCCCCACATATTTTGCAGCTATTGCTGAAATTCGATCGATCTAATTGGGACAAAAAATAGGAAAGAGAATTTTAATTAGCCAAATCTATTTACGGGTTAGACACAACCCTAAAAGTTTAGAGATTAAACGTACCTCCTCACGAAGACGGGCATTTTCAAGCCTGAGATGATGTTCATCAAAAGACATTTCGCCAATAGCGGTAGGGCCACCACAATTGGGGCACGAAGCATTGCTAAGGGCTTCTCTGTATCTCATGTTATCGGCTCGAAGCTTCTCATTTTCTGTTCGAAGTTGTGTGTTCTCATGCCGCTCATGTTGATTCTATGTTTCATATATATACCACACCACTCAAAATTATATAATCTCCAAACAAAAAGGACTTGGATTTGGATTTGGGGGTCTTAATTCTTAATTACCTTCATTTGAGTGCGTTTGTTTTGGAACCAAAATTTGACTTGTAACGGCTCCAACCCTAATTCCCTGCTTAATTCCTTCCTTTGTTTGTCATCCGGGTGAGGACACTCCTTGAAGAAACTATCCAAAATCAAAATAAAAATTTAGTCGTAGTTAAAGAGTATTCTCAGGAGTTAAAAAGTATTTTAAAACTCACATAACTCAGCCGTTAAAGTATCTTTAAAACTTACGCTTCCATTTCTTGGATCTGGTGTTGGGTATGGCGGTGGTAGCGCTTCTTTTTGTTGGGACGAGGGTCTTGGTCGTCGCCGGAGGCGAGTTCATGGTTGTTGTCGCTGCCGGATTTGGTGGCGCTGTCAAAGTCGTCGTCTCGGATTCGAGCGAGGTCGCTCTCGGAGGTGTTGTGAGGCATGTCTAAGGGGAGGAGCTGGCCGTCCATCATGCTTGGCTGGAACATATCTACAGATCTTTAAGATTCCGTAGGAGGGCAAGGCAAGGCAAGGCAAGAGCTTATGGTTTTTCAATCTAACAACACCAATGCAGAATTCAATTTCCACTCCAAATCAAATCCACAACACACATTTTTCTTTCCCCACCACAAAATTTTCTTTGTTACCACTTACAACCAAAAAACACAGAGAAGAAAAAAAGAACCCTAATTCTATTTATTTTTTCTCAATACTCAACACACCCGCCAAGCAACCAAAAACCCCATATTTTTTTCATAAAACCATTTTGGGAATTACTCCCAACTTTTATAGTTCTCTCTCTCCTTCTCTCTCTCTCTCGAGCAAAAGAAAAGGTTTTTATTTTTATTTTTTATTTTACGCGTTTTTCGAAAATCGATGAGGATTGGCCTTGAAATGACACATTAACCTAACATAGAAACTGAGATTATGTCAATAATACAAAAAAATTTGCAAAAAGCAGCCTCAAATCAAAATTGTGAGGAGAAAGGAGGGTGGGTTGACGAATTGAGAGACATCTGTCAAAAGGGTTTTTCATTTCCCCCATTAAGATTTTCACAGTAACCAAGAAACCAATTTCCCTTTTACAAAGTCAAATAAAAAAAAAGAAATTGATGAGGAGGGGCGTGAAATTCCTCAGATTTAGAGAGTAAGAAGATGGATAATAATGAAACCAACAAAAAAAAATCACAAATTACCTGAGAAAGAGCAAGTCCAGAAGATGAGCCAAATCCAGCAACATTATTCCCATTCCTTCCAATCATCGACGGCATGTTTCTGGCCGGTGTCATAATCCCGGCTGGCATGTTGAACACTATATTTCTGCTTCAAAATTTCCACAGTTGTTTTTTTTTTTTTGTTTTTTAACTTCTCTCACACATTCTTTTTTTTTTCTTTTTGGTTAAATTAGTAGAAGAAGGAATGAATAAAAGAGAAACGCTAGAGGGAAGGATTAATTATAAATTTTGGTTGGAGATTTGGACAGAGCCAAGAATCCGACAGACGAACCAGATGAGATGTACATAACGGCCACGAAGATCTCGGACAATATCCTAAAATGCTCTCTCTCTTCCCCCAAACGGTTCTTTTTCTATGTATGTCTCTCTCTCCTCATATCTGCAACCAAAAAAAAAAAACGTAGAGATCAGTGAAGCTAAACTAAAGACTTCTTCAGTCTGTAAACACATGGGGAAAAAAAAGGTACAAACTTTGATGAAATTAAGCCTACCCAGTGAAGAATAGCATGAGCTCAGATCTGGGTTTTTGCCTTTCGATGAGTTGGTGGATGTAAAAGTAATATATGTTGGCGGGAAGTGGAAGGAGAGGGGATTTTTGTTGTGCTGCTGGGAGAAGCTGGCTAGGGTTTTTAGAAGAAAAGGGGAAGATAAAAAGGGGAAAAAAGAAGAGGAAAAAAAGTTGGGTTTTTGCAGAGGAAGAAGAAAGGGCAAAGAGATGGAGGAAAACAGTGCGAGAAAGGGGAGTTATTGCAGAGCGTATTGAGAGGGTGCAATTGCATTTAATGGAGAGCGAAAGAGGTGTAATTGCAGAGAGAGAATTTTGGAGATTAATTTTGAGACTCAAAGTGTATATGGTGATGCTGCAACGAATGACGGCTACCAAACCCTTAACTCAAATTCTTATTAACATATAATATAATCCCATGTAATCTAATCTTACTTTTTTACAACATTATTCATCCCTAAAGTTTAATTTTTTTTCCATAGAGGAAGAAATATTAAAACCCCATTTGAAAAGAATGGAAATTAAAGAAACTTTTTTTTAATTGGATTTTCTTTCCAGATTTGTTGTTTGGTAAATAAAAAGATACTTTGGATCGAATAATTACATATTTATACTCAGCTGTAGAAAGCGTTATGTGTGGGTTTGAGTATAAACATATTCCAAACATGTATTAATTCCAACCTTTTTGCTGTGTCTTTTTGATTTATTGCAAAAAGGTTAACTATGACTTTTACATCATTATTAAAAATCGACACTTTTTGGCAAGAAATTGAACATCATTGTACCCTTTACTTTAATTTAGTTGATTAAGTACTTACCGGTCGTTGTAGTACATATGGTATGATATAATTGATTCTCATTGTATATTTTTACAAGAAATTTAAGTTTTGAGCTACGAATCTATCTAGTTTATTAATTATATATATAGGGATAGTTTATATAAATCTCACTCATATGATCCGTCTATTTACAAGTTATACCATGGTTGGTGTGAAATTGAAAATATCATTCTATTTTGATTAATATTAACAAAAAGTAGAACACACGCACGACGTATATATGTAAGATAGGTACGTTATGTGTGTACCAATATCTTTTAAGTTCAATGGTTAATATTAAATAGAAACCCGATGAAATTACAATAACATATATGTAATTTACAAATGGAAAATTAACAAAAGATTACATAAAATGGTTTTTATCTTGAGCAACAATATGTGATAATTCGAACTCACGACCATTTAATATATCGAAGATATATGCTTTAACCAATTGACTTATGTTTATATTAACAAGATATGATGTTTAACTATCCTTTTATATAAAATCAATTGTTATTGTAGTTCATTTAAGATTAGTTATATTGATCATATTCAGCTAAAAACTTGGTTGGAGGCTTAAAATTACCCCACAACTATCTCCAAAGGGGCTTGATTTTACTTCGAGAAAAAACATGTATTTGATTATAATTTTTATTTTTCTTTTAGGGTAAGAAATTATATGTTGGTTGATGTGGAAATCCAAGAAACAAAGACGAAGTAAATCCTTGTCTAATTTATAATTCACTCCTCTTTTTAAATCTTCTGTTTTAGTACAATATAACATTGGTTGTAGATGAAATATAATTATATTCTAATAGCGTAAAATATATCTAATGAAATAATATATTATTAAGAGACCATATTTTTTTAAGAGACCATTTCATTAAGAGAGGTATGACGAGGCTATAAGATAGTACTCCAATTAAGTGAAATGGTAGAGATGTTATAATTTTTTCTGTTAAAGAGAAACTGGCACCATTTTATTATATAGGTATATGAGAAACATGCCAAAGAAAAAGGTTATATAAGAAAGCATTCCAATTCAGCAAAATAGTACTAAATAAGTCATAATTTAAAAAAGGACAAGATCTAGAGGACTAGTGGAACTAAATAAGTCATAATTAAAAAAGGATGAGATTTAGAGAACCAAGTGGAGATGGAGCGCTATTTGTAAAAGATGGATTATATTGTTTTCTAAAGGTAGAAACGATGTTGTAATTACAAAAAGAAAAGAAGAAATTGATGTCAAGTTGAGGCATAGATTTTAACGTCATCTCAATGAGGTACGTTTGTTTCTCTTTCAACTATTGAGATATCTATATAAAAACTAAATTAATTCGATTTATCAATTTAAATTTTTTGGTTGAGTAGTAGTTTATTCATTCTTAAACTAAATTAATTCAATTTATCAACTTAAATTTTTTGATTGAGTAGTAGTTTATTCATTCTTAACATAGTATCAGAGCGAAAGGTCATGTGTTCAAGTCCTGCGTCGTTGTTCCTCTCCACTCCCGCTCCATTGATATCTTTCCTATTGGTTTTTCTAGAAAATAGAAGGCGTCCGGGAGAAAAGCCTCAATACGATATGGGAGTCGGGAGAGACGCAATGAAATACTAAAGCCAAGATGTCAAAGTGGAGATCCAGAGAGATGCTGAAAATGGGAAAATGCATGGTCCAAGGAGATTCCGCCGCGTGGCTTCCAAATCTCGAGTTTCTGAAATATAATTTTATTTCATCATGTTAAAATGTATTAAATGTGCATCGTGGTAAATATATGGACCAAAACTATATATAAAATGGAGGTGTATCATGGGTTAGATTACATAATAATGTATAAAAAAATGACTATTTTTAAAATTATAAAATTTATAGACTTAACGGTATTTTAACCTAATATCATAATAGAAAATCCTACATTCGCACTCAAAATCCTCTTATTTATTTATTTATTTTTTTTTTGACAAAGCAATTGAGGGTGGAGGAATTATTTGAACGCTAGATGTGTTTGGTTTTTTCCCCCACCAATAAGCATAATTGATTAATTGCAATAAAAATATATAATGTTAATTATATTTTCCAAATCAGAGGTTGATATTAGCATATATATATGCATGCATTACAAAATGTTAGTAAAATATTGGATCAGCTAGGCGGTTCAGAAACGTAAGATTGATGTCTGAATTGAGGAATAAATGCTATTTGAAGAAGGAAAAAAACAGGAATAAATGTGAGATAATACAATTAATTAAGGGCAGGGGTGGATTTAGAAGATAATGGCTGTGAGGTAAGAAATATTTTGGCGAAATAAATGAAGCCCAACAACATCAAATCTTGAAATAATGATTTGGATGTGGAAGAAAGATGCAATATCGTTGTCAATTGTAGAGAATGAAATTAAACCAATTTTGGGGTATAAGTCCTTTGCCCATTATTATTGTTCATATATATTTTGTAATGCATTTATTATTGACTCATGCATAAAGCAGACATGCTCTAAGCTTTTACTACCAAAATTGTCACTCTAAATGCTGTTTGACTTAGGAATTAACCTTACACACTCCAAAAACATATATTAATAATGAGTCGCATTACTTATCTTATAACATTTATATAACTCATATTTTATACTAATCTTTACAAATTAATAATCCACAAATCAAAGACCCATATGTTCTTGATCTAATTCAGTGTGAATTTCTAGGAGGGAGAGAATTGGGATTTTTGTGAAAAGCTGAAGGTTGAAAAAATAAAAAGCAATTGTAAAGGAGAAAATGGTGTCGTGGGGCTACGGGATATGATTCAGCAATTGCTGGCATGCCCTATTTAATGATTCTGAGCAACACCCTCTGCATGGCAAACCCTATTTACTTCCTTCATGCACTCTCCCTCCATCCACTTTTTTAAGATTGTAACAGAAATATATATTTATAATGTTAATTATAAATAAAGTAAATTAGATTTTTTTATAGTTTTTTTTTTATTGGTGGTAGAATTGGAACTTTTAGAAATAACTTTTTGTAACTAGTTTAAATTTTATCCTAAATTTTTCATTATACCCCGTTCTTTTAACTAAATTTGTTAGTGAATGGCTTTTTTTCAAAACTTTAGAGGCAAAATTGAAATTGAAAACACATGAGAATATGGGCCTGGAATAATTTGGCGTAATTTTGGATAAGATTTCTTGAAGTCTTGGGTTTAAGATTGGATTGGCTATGTAATGCTTTTAATGAAATATTATGTGTGATTGAGTGACGTTGATTGAATTTAAAGCTTTGAAAAAGAAGGGGAAAAAGAGTGGGAAAGGGAAACTTGAAAATTTCTCATTGAAAATTAAGAGTGGCAGGGAGAGACTCTCACGTGAGAACCATTCAAAGTTGAAAGCTACCATTGTCGCCGGTCGAGTGAAGTAAACTCCAATTTGTACTTTTAAACGCAGCGTTTCATTCCTTTTTTTTTTTTTTACAGACAAAAAAAAAATAGTGGACAAAATAAATTAAACGAAAATTGCATCTTTTGTGAGATCATCAATGATTCATGGTGGCGAATTTTGTTTCTTCGAGCATGACACACTAGAATTACGAGCGCGTGGAATAAAGAGAAAGCCAACAACAAGACCTTGCCGCTAATGGTCTTTGAGTTCATTGAAAAAAATTTGAAATTCATTTGCTGACTCGTTCATCAAGAATGAGAAGATTCTAAAGGATCACAGAATCGACCTCAGCCTATAATGAATGAAGACCAGTTTCATACACTCTCTGGATGCCTTTAATTGAGTCATTGCTTAGGCAAGCTCGACAAAACCAGTAACAGTCAGAAAAGTACATTGAATCTTCATACGAGTCTCCAACAATTGCTCCTACACCATATTTTCAGCTAACACGGAAGAATTAGAGTTGAGTTTAAAATAATGTGGGCGTGACTGTGAGGGTTGCCAACATTGAGGAGGTGTGGAAGGATTATTCAAAATTTGATAAAAACAGTTTCTTGATTCGGCCATGAATTAGCATATCCGAGAGTACTTTCTATTAGGCTGCCGTCAATCTCCTTGATAGTACTAATAGCCAAATTGATTGAGTCAAGAAGTGTCTCTTGCCAGCAACCAAAAAGATGTGTATAACGATGCCTCCAAATGGTTGACGCATTTAAAACTAAGAAGACGGAGATAAGCGTGGCTCAAAACTGGGTGCCAATAAATCAAAAAAAATTTACTTTCGTTGATGTTTTTTCATTCTCTTATCAAGCGATTTTACAGTAAAGCAACTAGGAGGTCATCTAACCGAAGATTGCTCCAAGCCAAGCATGCTTAACTTTGAAGTTCTTATGATCGAGTTACCGAAAAGGAATATGCACCTTGTTAGTATAGGTAGTGACTAGCTATCATGTTTTTTAAGTTTTTCTTGACCATT